GCAGCGGTCCCCCAGCTGCCAAGGGGGTGTTAGGAGGGGTTCTGTGCCCGGTGTCCTGTCTGCTGGTCCTGACCACCCAGGGCCAGCCAGGCAGCCCTCCATCCATCCATCCATCCATCCATCCATCCACCCACCCACCCATCCATCCCTCCCTCCCTCTGTTCATCCATCCAGCCCTCCATCCATCTCCCCACCCCTCCCTTCCCCCATCCCAGCTGCCAAGGGGGTGTTAGGAGGGGTTCTGTGCCCGGTGTCCTGTCTGCTGGTCCTGACCACCCAGGGCCAGCCAGGCAGCCCTCCATCCATCCATCCATCCATCCATCCATCCACCCACCCACCCATCCATCCCTCCCTCCCTCTGTTCATCCATCCAGCCCTCCATCCATCTCCCCACCCCTCCCTTCCCCCATCCATCCCTTCCTCCATCTCCCCATCCCTCTCTCCATCTGCCCATCCATCTCTTCCTCTATCTCACCATCTCTCATTCCATCCATCCATCCATCCATCCCTCTATTCTTTTCTCCATCCATCACCTCCTCCCTCCTTCCCTCTATCCCCTCACTGATCCCTTCCTCTATCTCACAATCTAGTCCTGAATCTCCCCATCCATCCCCATCCATCTTCCCATCTCCTCACCATCTCTCCATCCATCCCTCCCTTCCATCTCCCCATCCCTCCATCCATCTCTCCATTTATTCCTGCATCTCCCTATCCCTCTGCCCATCTATCTCTCCATTTCCCCATCCCTCATTCCATACCGTTATCCATCTCCCCATCCATCCCTCTATTCTTTCCTCTATCTCCTTATGCCCCTCTCCACCAACATCCATCCATTCCTCCATCTCCCCATACATTTCCCCATCCATCCCCCATCCATCCCTCATCCATCCTTCTCTCCATCCCTTCCTCCATCTCCCCATCCCTCATTCCATCTCTCCATCCATCCCTCTATTCTTTCCTCCATCCCTCCCTCCACCCCCATCCATCCCTCCTTCCATCTCACCATCCTTCACTCCATACCCTCATCCATCTCTCCATTCACCTCCCCATCTCCCCAACCATCTCCTCGTGCCCTCCTCCATCCCCCCATGCATCTCCCCATCCACCCACCCACTGTCCCATCTCCCCATCCCTCCTTCCCTCCATTCACCCCATCCCTCATCTCCCATCCCTGCCCCATGCCAGTACGCACTGGACAGCCGCCCCCATCCGCTGAGGTAGCAGGGGTACCCATCAGGCAGGACGGTGTCTGGGGGCGGCCGCTCGCCCCCCTGCACCTGGGCATCCAGCATGGCCGGGCGCTGCAGCTTCAGCAGGGCGATGTCATTGCTGTCGCGGGGACACGCGTCACGGGGAGCTGGGGGGGCGTCACAGACACCCTGCACCCTGCCCGGGGCCCCACTCACCCGCAGGCCACACAGGAGCTCTTCCATTTGGGGTGCACGAAGATGTCGGTGGAGGCCACGGGGACACGCTGCTCGGGGCCCTCCCTAGCATCCAGGTCGTACTCACCCAGCACCACCTGGTAGGTGCGCGAGGAGCTGGGGGGACGGGAACATCAGGAGATGCTGTGGCCCTCCTACACCCTTCATGCACCCTGTGCCCCACCACACACCCATCTTGCACCCAGCACCCCCTCTAAGGGCCCTGCACTCCCCCATAACCCCCATGTTCTCTATGCATCCCAACCCACACCCCTCGTCCCTTCCATGCACCCATCCCTGAACCCCCCTGCACCCTGCATCACCCCTGAACCCATCCAGCACCCTACACGCCTCCCACACCCTCCACCCCACCTGCACTCCCCATGCACCCATCCCTGCACATTGCATCTGCCTGCACCCCATTGCATCCTGCATCCCCTCCGTGCACCCTGCATCTCCCTACACCTTCTCCGTGCACCCATCCCTGCACCCTCCAACCCTCCTGCACATATCCCTGCACACCAGCACCCCTTCTACACCTGCACCCTGCACCCTCCATGCACCCTGCATCTCCTCTGTGCACCCATCTCTGGATCCTGCACAACATCTCTGCACCCTGCACCCCTCCTGCACCCCACCTCCCCTTCATGCATCCATCTCTGCATCCCTCCTGCACCCTGCCTCCTCTCTATGCACGCATGCCTGCACCCTGCACCCCCCCTGCACCCATTCCCTCCCCCCAGACCCC